AGACGGAATTTCACTAAAGAGGGAACTGCAAAATTTCAAAAATTTTCAGCCGATGAAAACACCCATTTTCATTATTTTACATGTACAGTACTGGAAGTTGAAAAAAAACTTTTGCATTCTACGTTGTAGGAAACTAACAATGGGTCCTTATCTAAGGAGGCGACTGGCAGCCCGACTGTCCCGCATCTCTGACGCTCCGGAGGATACTGAAGAAGCCATCGGTCTAATTTCACGCCTCGTCAGCAACGAGGACCTGTTGACGTTCTGTAATACGCTGGCTCCAGACTCCTTCGGGGAGGCGATTCTTCAACCTCTCCTTTCGTTTGCCCAATCCCCCAAGGCAGTGGCACATTTGGCGAAGCTATGGAATAGACCAGACGTCTTGCAGTCCGTCTTTGTCAGGGACCCAAGTGCTCTCGACCAGCGTACGTACAAAAGCTGCATGAACGACTGGGTTTTTCGATGTTGTGGACAGACTGTTTACCGCTAGCTTATAGATCAGAACTTTAGGCAAATATGTTTCTTAAATTGTCAGCAGTAAGGTAAAGAGCCTTCATGGTTGTTAGGATCCGACCTGAACGGCCCTCATTGGCTAATTTACTTGACGTTTTCGGAGATATTTGTGGAAATTATAGCATCATATCAGTGGTCATGGAAGGACGCTATGGAAACCAGAGATTGGTTTTGTCCCTTGCAGTCCTAGAGCGCAACAAAAAATCGATATGACTTCTTTTGGACACTTGATGAAGCTATTTATGCATGAAGGAAACAAGTTTTGTTTTTACTTCATCTTAACGCTTTCCAGTGTACTGGGGTTGGGCACGATAAGTTCTTCTTCGATTACGTATATTACCTTTTTATAATTCCTTAGGACGATAATATAAATTGCGTACTTTTACTCTGTGATTCAAATAATATTTCAACTATAAATGTGTGAAATAGTGGTATGTGCGTTGAAAGAAGCCTGCTTTACTTACTTGCCTATAAAGCAGGTTTTTTGAAATTCGGCCAAACGCCTAGTGGATATAAAGCAAACTAAAATCGGTGACGTCATTCAGCTAATGTAACCACGTTACACTATAATCAACCAAGATTTTGTGTTCTCGCATCCTTTTGATTAGAAGATCAACTGAGCCACTGCTCTTTCAATTTTCGGTTGCAAACGAAACTATTAAATATGATACTTTACCTAGGTGTTAAATATGGTTAGCTAACGATGGGTGATAAGTCCGAAATAGCCATCCAAGTCGTTCTCCTCTGTTGGCGGTCGTTCTCCGCATAAATGTGTAGTCGCTCTGCCCGTCGTATGACACTCTAACTCATGGGAGATTCTAGTGCCTCCTGCTAAAATAATCTTTTGAGTTACTCACTACGACCACTTCCAGGTTCTAACATTGGCTGTCAGTAGGTGCGAGGAGAGAGACTGAGTTAGATGCAACGCATGTGTTAATCATTCTAATTGGTTCCAGGCGTAGATTATCCTGACGTTAAACTCGTATTACGTTGGTGCTCACATTGGTTGTTCACATGCCTCGGTCGATTTGTGTTACCTTGCCTTTACTGTACTTTGTCTCACTAATCAATCGCGCGAGATTTTACTTTTAATTGATGCTGCCACTCTTATAGTAACGAAGCTGACGTCAGTGATTCTCTACACAAGGCAGCTTTTCATGCGGCGACCTGCGACAGCACCTCGCAATTTCGTGGGTGTGGAGCAAGCATACGCAAACTTCTACAACCGGGTGACTATCTTACCGAGCCAGGTTTTGAGCTTTCAGTTAAGGAATGATAGTTGATTTCGGGGATAATCAATTGATCAAATTACGAAGCGGCAGAAGACATCCAAATGCACCCTGGCATGCTTTCAGAGATATCTCGATTTGCTCTTTGATTGTTAACACAGGAGGGGGTTACCGGCTCAGTTAAGTGTTGTACTCCTTTCTCTATATAATACATCCTTCTCAGAATTTTTGACAGTTAAGCACTTCCAGATGTTACCTGGGTCTACACCTAGCCGAGAATTCATAATTGTATAGGAGGATAAAGCGGATGTGATCGGGTTACACATTGTCCTGGTAGACACATTTCGATCAATCGGCATTGCACCATAGCGAGCTACGAAGTAACCTTGGATCATTATCGATCCTGATGAAAGTAGTTTCCTTTTTCTCTTAGTTCAGCAGATCCCGGATCACAGGATCCTTGAAACTATGCACGTATTCTTTCTGATAAAGATTATATTTTGCCGGCCAGAGATGCGTAACTGTAAGAATGATGAAGCACACAAACTAATTTAGCTCCTTAATTCAGCAAAGGCTCGGTGTTCTATGTTCACTTGTGGATTTGCGGGCGTTAGTTTTAGTCTTTTCTCTGCAGTTGACATATACGTCGTAGCAATTCAAGCGCCTTGAAGTCACCAATTTTCACCGTATTTTATAAAGTGGCTTCATCTGTGTAAAGGGAAATTGCGGTAAAAATAAACTAAACAAAAACCTAAAATAAATAAAAACTTTACTCAAGCTAAGACTATAATTCGGCAAAACATAGCCCCTGCTACGAAGTAAGTAGACAATTATGCGTAAAATAAGCTGTAGTGGACCATACATGTAACTTTTCAACGTGTGACTGTCACCAAAATGGCAGATTGGTCTCCAACCGTTGTCCTGGTTCTTACTTTCAGAAGGAGAACTCGTTTGAGATTTACAAAATATTCTGCGGATGAAAATTGGTCTCTAATTGAAGACAGCTTTTCCTAGCGGTGGCTTATTTATAGCCTAGCACAAAAATATGGTGTCAGGACTTACAGAAAGCATAAAGCGATGAAATGCAAATAGGGATGTGCTACTTACGCAGACGGGAACAATGACTGCTGTTAAGTTGTTGTTTTATCATGGCGTATTGATTTCCGAACCCCATGCTCCAGCGCACTGAGGTTGGGACCACAGCCCCTGGTCCATGTAAAATATTAGTCGCTCCCCCCCCCCAACTCAAATAAAGTTTTATTGGTTGCAGATATCTGACCGAAATAGGAAGATAAGCCAGGTTGATTTCGAGGCTAAGGGCTGGGTGTCCTGTTATCATTTTGGTTGAACGAAATTCTACGATGAAAGCCCAAGATCTTTTGCCTAAAATTGAAAGCGATGAGCAGATTATCACTAGTCTCAGAGTAGATAACGGCCAAAAATAGAGAGACATAGTGTGAAGACCTTGACCTACGTTTGCAACTTTGTTGTCTCTTATTCTTTAACAGCGACAATTGCTCGAATGCTCTATGAAGCCATCTTCAAAAATCAAGTGGAATTTGTCAAGTTGCTCCTTCCGCAGCTGAAAGATTTAAGCCTCATCCGAACTTACTGGGCTTATTTCCTCTACACCGATACCGAGGAATCTGCGAATGTGATGAAGGTGTTGACGTCCTTAAAAATTTTAAAACGTGCTCACCTTGCCGAGGTTGGAAAAACATGCAATCGGCCGGTAACTGTAAAAATGCTCAAGATTTTGATTGAGCGTCTACTGAAGTGTGACATTGGAGCCAAGATATTCCATGTAATGGTAGGCGCTGCAGAAATGCCTATATTTTAACTGTTGTATTGATTATTTATGGTCTAATTATGTATTTATTTGTCACTAAAGACAGCATAAGTCAGCCCTTTTGGTAGTGGGCGATCGCTCTGAATAGGTGAATAATTTTCACAACACGTTTTTTTCCTCATTTCGTTTATGTCTGCCATGCGTCGTTGACATTCATCTTTATAAAAACAGAACTTATAGGCTCTTATTTTGACGGAGCTTACTTGACCAGCAAAATATGTTGTTAGTATAACTCCGATGAATGATTTGAAACAACTTGAAAGTCAGAGAACCTGATAAAACGGTAGACCATTTTTGTCTCGTGCAATTTAATCTATATCTTGCAGAACATATAAGTTGGCACAGCCTGGAGCTTAAACTTAACAAGTGAGAACATAAAGATGCTCATCATCCGTAAAACATTACTGTGCTGACCTCAGCGATGTCTTTCAAATACAGACTCCCCAAACATGACTGGCCAATAATTATATATATTAACATGACTGAAGATATGATAAATATATGTATACGCCTAAAAATTCAGGGTCCAAATATGTTATCGCGTTCATCGTCCAAAGAAGAGGAAGAGGGGCGGGTTCGTGGAATAAATTATAGTTGAACTGCCTTTTCAAAAGCACACTCGCTTCCATCGTCAGAGTACCGTGCCTACTCCTCCGTGGACTATTAGTGAAATCGTTTTGCCATAAGCTTTGTGTTATATCCGTGTTCACTGCACGTGCGTTGGCCTGCCTGGTGGCCGCTGGTTGGCTCCGACTTTTTTGCCGCCGGTTAATGGGGGGTTCGCGTCCCCTTTGTTCCCTGCGCCAATATCGTGGTTGCCGCGGCGTCAGCTTGCTCGCCGGCCTCCCCATCGCCAGACGGT